GTTCCTCCAGCTAATTCACGGAGAAAGATTGGAGATTTTGAGTTGCCTGCCTCCCCATAAAAAGTATTCATATATACCTTTAAAGCTTTTTGCTTCGAATCCCAATAATCGTAATCGAAGCATACAGATGAATATTCTGAATTTAAGCTTTCTGGAATCCTTTTGCCTCTTTTTTTAGCTGAATTTATTATCTTTTCAAAATGTTATCTTATCTTTCCTAGTGAGACCAGATATGCTTTAAGCTTCAGCCTCTTGTTAGATAAATCCTCTAATACAATAGGATATAAGCCCTTCTTTTCAAATTTATTATCATGTCTTACACTTCTAGCTTAGGCGATGCAATTATTGAATAGAAACTCAATCTTATGTAAAATGTTCCATTTTTTTTCCGCAATATCAGCTTATTCATGTGTTAGTATTATTTATCTGGAGAGAGATTATAAGCCATGATGAGACTGAGATATAATGAAGCAAAGTCCAATCCTGTTACAGGTCTTCTCGTTTCAATCCCCTTTTCAGGTAGAAAAACATACGCATCAGGATATTTTTCTTTTTCTATATTTTCACATACTTTTAAGCTAAATACCATATCACGTTTAAAAGTATAAGCACCTAGAAGGTTTTATACCTTCATTCTATTTGCACGATAGTGTGAGTCAAACAAAGATATATGAGCTATGAAAGCGACTTCTCTGTAATCATTTATTTGACTTAGCTTTACCAAAAGCTCTTGGCAATGTAATGCATCTATAATACAATAATTAGTTACTTCTCGCATTTTTCTTGCAGTTAAAGGAGAGGGGTCTTTTTTTGCCTCTGAATAGATTCTTCACATTTCATTATATGGCATGTCAGCTTTAGTGTCGAGACCACACTTTTTTAAGAAGAATTTAAGCGACCCTTTCTTTTCGACTTCAGAACGGGAATAACATTTTTAGAGACACACTCAGACATCAATTGGTACACATCCTGGCAGTTTAAGAAAACTGGAAAAGAAATCCTCTTCTGCAGTAATTTTGATCTTAATTGCTCCTATATAATCTTTCTTTTCCTTGACCTTCTCACCTGATCCCCTCTTCATCTGTATCCTTTTTCTTTTCTTTTATTATGAAATTATTTTCAGATTTCGCTCCTATCTTTTCACGATATTTCCACTTTAGGATTTCTTCCTTTGTTTCGAACTTTCCTGTCATTCGCTCCCACATCCATTCAAGTATATTGAGATGATATGCTCTCTCCATAATAAAACGCCAATCATAATCAGAATCATTAAATCCAACTTGAATGTTAGGGGCAAATGCTCGCTAGCAGAGAGCGAAAGCTTTTAGCAAATTTACCTGATTTTTGCATATGATTATAACCCATCGTGGGTCTAGTGCAGTTTCAACGTCAACAAGACAGATTTTTTTAATGGTTTTGGATCATCTTTCTAATGTAATGTCATACCAATTATAAGACCTTGTTTTTCTGTTTAAAAACTTCTGCAAATTCTCCCATTTGTAAGGCATATGTTTCTATATCCCATGTAAGGATAAGAGTGCAATCTTGTAAGAGAGCTGAAATGGGAAATTAGTCACTTATTGTTTTAAAATCCTCTAGTGGACAGAAATCTTTTATAGACATGAAGAACTCGTGTGAACAAAGTGGGTTGGTCTGCTTACCTTTCTTACGTATATATTTGTTTATTGTAGACCATTCAGAGAGTTGGATTCCATTTTCTCGAGCTACCTTTTGGTGAAATGAGTATAAATCATCTGAAGCAGTTTCAAAATTATTTTCTTGGATAGCTTGGATGGCTTTCTTTCTCTCTCCAGTACCATTCGTATAAATTCGTAAATATGACTTTTTTTCAGTATGATAACCCCGAAAAGGGAAAGCTTTAATGTGCTTTATTTTAAATGATTTTACAACGCCAGAGAGAATTTTGTTCACCTTTTCTTCACATTCATCTGGAGTCTCTCCATCTGGTACGAGAATGTCAAAGAAAACTTGAATGTCTATAAGAGTTAACAGTGCCTTTTGGCTATTAATAAGATGACTATAAAGACGTAATATATAGCGGTACATTCCATTTATCCTTTCTGTTGATCCTTCATTCTCAATGGCCATGAATGGAATTTCTTGTCGTTTAGATAAAGTATCTTCGAGGATTAAAGATAATCCCTCATCATTTCCTGCAACTATATCATCTAGTGTTGAAAAGCCCAACAAGTAGTTTTCATTAGAATAGTGAATTACTTGGGCTTCTATTTTATCTTTTTCAGCCTTTGGGTGAAAAAATGCGGAGGCGTTGAGAAACTCTGATTGGGTCATTTTTTTCTCAAGCAATTTAAAATAATTTATAGTTATACCAAAACTTAAGGTATATTATTCATAAGAAAAAGTTTAAAATGAAATTAATTCCCTTAAATAGAAGGCGAAAAAAAAGGTGATACCCTAGTATTATATAATTGTCTATATATTCTTAGGACTGAAAAAGTATGCAATCGGAGATGCTATCATCCAAAGGGATGTAAAGTCCACCGAAACTCTAGGCAGGTTTTTTGTAAAGAATGCAGTGAGCCGACAAGATCCAAATATGATTATTGTAATGCGCATGCAAAAAAACATAGATCAAAGGAACACTATCATCAGAAAAAGCTGGTTGACTTAGCTTCGATACAGGGACTGGTGGGCAATTAAGTATAGATAGAAGCAATGTAAAATAATACAACTTTATCATCAGTTGTCCTAAAAAATCCGTCTCAGTTTCCGTCTTAGTTGTCAAAGTTTTCTAGGACGGATGAAATATAGCTAGATAGTAATATTAAAACGAATGAAGGGGGAAAGAAATAATCCGTCCCAGTTGCCCTAGTCATCCTAGTAAATTTTGAACTTTTTTACTTTTTTTTATTTTTTTTATCTATAGGTATACATATATATCATATACATATATAAACCATACACATATATCATATATATACCATAAGAAAATTACGATTTTTTTTAGAACTTTATTTTTTACTAGGACAACTAGAACACTAGGACATAATATAAAAGAACAAGTTAAATCAAAGAAAGAAGCTCTTCTTCTATAACAAAATCCGTCTCAGTTCCCGTCCTAGTTTATTAAGATGCTTCATTTACTAGGACGGATTTTCTCGAATTTATAACAGAATATTTTTGCAAGTAATTAACCAATTCATTTCAAATTCAGCATATATATCTTCTAATAATATACACATAAAGTATCACTTAACATAAAGCCTTCTGGGATCACTATCATATGATTTCCCTAACAATATATACATAATGTATCACTTTGACACAGAGCCTTCTAGGATCACTGTCAGATGACTCTCCTAACAATATATGTATTTCTCATAACACCCATTTTAGAAAAAAAACATAGTAAATTAACAATAATATCAGCCAACACTATTTCATAATGTCAGCCAGAACTTTAGACATAATAACTTGGCATCCAAGCTGGCATATAGATGGACTGAAACTGGCAAATAAATGGAACCTCTCTAGCATCCCTTCAGTTCTATGACAGTTCTAGGAAAGTTTCATGACATCACTAGAACGCTATCACAACATTATCATGACACTAAATTAGAGAAATTTCTGAGACATTATGTCCTAGAAAAATGCCAAGAAAATTCAAAACATTTCAGAAAGTTCGAAAGCAAAGTTGACCAGGTCCATTTGGGTGGGAAGGCAGAAAGACTCAGAAGAATACACGAAAAAAGTATGAAAGATCGATATAGGGGTATGCTCAAAGTAACAAATATGCGAGAAAGGGTTCTGGAAAAGTGGGAGCACAAAGAAATGTGTCTCACCAAAGCAGAATTATTATAAGGAAAAGAAAAAAGAAAATTTGCGCAACTGGGACACAAATTTTATTATCTGATATGACCCAAAGTATCAGCTATGCAGAAAAGAGTTCTAGAAAGGGAGGAATGTAAAATAAAGTATAAATTTGGCTAAAAAGACGCAAAAAAAAGCATTCTCGATATCTTAACAGGCTACCAAACAGGCCTAGAAGAAGAAAATAAGTGAATAGCTCTTTAGAAACAAAAAAGAACGTAAAGCATTGTAAACACATGAATAGTTCCTTGATAATAAAAAGAGGACAGAGCAATAAAATCAAGCAGATAGCTACAAGATAACAAAAAGACCATACAATAATGAAATCAAGTGGATAGCTACAATAAAATAAAAAGATCACAGAGAATCGAAAACACAAAAGCAGGTAGCATTATAGTACAAGTAGATAGCAGTATAACGATAAGTAGGTAGCAATATAATGATAAGTAGATAGCAGTATAGCGCAAATAGATAGCAGTCTTATAAGACTGCTACCTACTGGTGTAATGGATCCCTCAGTCCTATAATGATATGTGGTTCCAGATAGCTGATAACTGGCAGAAGGGATCAAATCTTCCTAATGGGTTCAAGCTAATAACAGCATCACTAAGGGTGACGGTAATATCTGGACCAGTTGCAATGGTGTAAGTTGCCAATAGTAGAAATGATCAGTAAAGACCTAGTGTATAACATTGTGGGGACATATTGACGCAAGTCAGCAGAACCAATCATTATACTAGCAAATTTCAAGGTCATTTACTTTTTTTCAAATGATCTTGGTCATTTTGACTTGAAATTTATAATAAAAGTGAGGTCATTTGAAGTCATTTGAGGTCATTTCAAGGTCATTTCAAGGTCATTTGCCAATACTGATACTAATACTACATACTGAAATTAAAAAAAAAAAATAAAAAAATAAACAAAAAAAAAATAAACTTTATCTTTTTCGTTTCTCGACAAAATTTCTTATTACAGCTAATTTCATAATTCATGGACCATTAATGATTTTTCAGTCGTATTCAGTCGTAATATTTTATAGTAATTTTATTATAAAATATTTTCAGTTGCATTCAGTCACAATTTATTAGTGGTTCATGAATTATAAAATTAGCTGTAAAAATATTTGGTCATTTATTTAAAATGTATAATTTTTTTGTAAGTAATCATAATTACAGATATTATAATAAAAAAAAATAAACAAAAAACTAATCGAAAGTTATTCAATTGGTATGAAAACCCTTTATATTAATATTAATATTAATAATACTAATTGTATTTTCTTTCTTTTCTACTAACTGTTTCTGTTTCTTTACTAACTGTCTCTCTTTTGCTTTTTCTACTAACTGTCTCTCTTTTGATTTCTCTACAAACTTTCTTTCTTTTGATTTCTCTATTTTACTAATTGTCTTTTCTCTTTTATTTTCTCAAATCTACTAACTTTCTTTCTTTTTATTTTTCTATTCTACTAACTGTCTCTTTTTTACTTTTTTATTCTACTAATTGTCTTTTTTTTTTTTTACTTTCATGCGAATTTTTTGAAACATCAAATATTTAAACATTTAATTTTTTTATTTATCAACCATTTATTTTAGAAAAATTTTCATTAATGTTTTACTTTATGAGACTTATAATGGTATATGCTACTATAATCTCGTTTTTGTAATATTTTCATATTATTTGTCAAATTATTTTAAATAAAGCATAATTTGTATATAAATAAATAAATTTAAATATATTAAACTCAATAAATTACGAAATATTACATGACTGAAAGTTTTAAATAAATATTATAAACAAATTGACACCATAAATTTTCGTAAACTATATTAATCTACCCATAAACTTTCAAAATTCTTGTATTATCGTAAATTTTACAGAATATTGCACCATAATATTACGAAATACTACACTTAAACTTTTGAAATTCTTGTATTTTCGTAAGTTCTACATAATATTACATTGTAATGTTACGAAGTACTACATCATAAACTTTTAAAATTCTTGTATTTTTGTAAGTTCTATATAATATTACACCGTAATGTTATGAAGTATTATGCTGTAAACTTTCACATAGTTTACATTCTATAATATTATGTAGTACTATGTTATAATATTACAGAATATTACGAATATACAATTTATGTAATCTTACAGTGGCCTCGTAAGTTTTCGTAATATTACAGAATGTAAGTTTACGTAATATTACATCCTATTAAATTTACTGATATTTGTATCAGCTTATTCAAAAAATATTATTCTAATTTCATAAGATGATAAAGCTAAAGTAATTCAATCTATAATTTTATTGAATTTAATAGTTAGATCTTGGGCAGTAAAAAGAAAAAATACCAAAAATGTAATAAATATTATTACAAGATATAAATAAAATTAACAAAGTTTACAGCTAATTTCATAATTTGTGGATTACTAATAAATTGCAACTGAATATGACTGAAAATCTTTTATAATAAAATTACTATAAATTATTGTGATTGAATTTAACTGAAAATTATTAATGATCTATGAATTATGAAATTAGCTGTAAATAAAAAATAAAAAGTTTAAATAAAAAATAACACAGTTTAAATAACTAAATTTAAAGATTAATTTTTCTAAGATAATTAGTATGATTTTTTGAGTATCTATTATAAAAATTGTCATATAATTAAGTTTGATTAAATTTGAATAGTTTATTTTTAGGTTTCACTAGGTATTGCTACAGTCAGAAAAACATTTAAAGTAATATAAATATCAAACGAATATGTGTCTGTTTCTGATCATGATTTTTCAATAGATTCTAAGCATAAGTTGATACCATCCATCTACTTATTGAATAATCCTAGCAATATAAATAATTTCTTAAATTCTAACAAAATACGAATATTTATCTACCTTGAATACTTTTTGGGTACTTTATATGAAACTCATATGATTGACTTTATGAAAATTACAGAAGAATCATCTTTTTATGAGTTTACTCATTATAAAGATTCTATAAAATTTATTTGGTATCTATTAATATATAGTGAATCTAATGAAAACCTCAGTTTCTTGCAAATATTATGAAATATTTGCTCATTTTCAAGAAACTTGATCTAGACTACCTTACAGTACAAATATATATACTAGGATAATCAGCATATAATTCAGTAGAATAAAGTATATCATCATTATCTGGCAAGTTAGCGGGGATTATGTTGAATACTTTTAATTACAGAAAGCATCTTGGTAATGTAAATAGACAAGTTTCTGTAATTGATAAAGAACTCAACCATAAAAACTTTAAACATGCTGGTAAGCATCTTTATGAACATTGGAACTGCAATCCTATTAATAGATAACTAGTTATTACTATATATATTGAAAAATATGATCATACTATATTTCAGATATTGAAGAAGAGACATAGAATTGGATCGATTAATATTCACAAATTTGTAAATATTCTCTCAATTTGCGAAAATGCAATGATCAAAGTTGCTGTAGATTACTGCAAACTTCTGATACTTTCAAATTTCTATCACTAAATAATGACTTTCTTTTTTTATTGTATAATGATAAGACAAATACTTTCTTAATCTATTGCATACATTGAAATATTTTAGTGATCAGCTTCCTAGTTATAATAAGCATTATCTAAGCATTTTACCTAAATTGTATTAAGAACTTGTATAACAAATATGTGAAAAGTATTTTTCCAATAAAGGCATTTATAAAAATACATATTAAGATCATGTATTAAAGTGGAAGAGAAAAAAGAGTGCAAGTCACAATCTATGATTCTAGTAGAAAATCATAATACATTTAAGATATCAGCAATTATAAGAAAGAATCCATATATATGAATAAATCTATTATTCAAAGAGATAATAAAATTACAACTATATAAAAATAAACAAGAGGTGATGGGTATAAAAGGAATGGTGTGAAGAATTCACAGTCTTAAAATCAGGATCATCTTACGTTTTAAATTAGCTTTAATAATATATAATGATAAAATTATTTGACTCAAATTTTAAATAAAATTGCAATAGATCCATGTAAAATAATCTGAAAGTTACAAGATTCATTTTATTAAATTTAAATTTAACAAATTAAATTTTTAATTTTATGATTAAAACTAAATTTTTTATCATGTGATTATGTTATATTATTTTCTTATTTGATTATATGACAGGAGAAAAGGGAAATCCCAAAAAATCAAATGACATCAATTCTGACTCTTCTCTTACAACTGGTGTAATTATATTTATTAATAGATCTACAGTTATAAAGAAAGCATTTTCTATTTAAAAGAGATGAAACTAAATGATAGTATGACTAAAGTAAAAGAATGATTACATTAGGATAATTATATAGGAAGAAAACTGTATAGTCAATTCAGTTTTTTGTTTACTCTTAGAATTTAGATTGTAATATACACTTTTTTTAAATGAGAATGTAATATTTATTTTAATCCTATTAGAATACTTTTTAAAAGGAAGTCTGATTTTGTTATTACAATACTAACTGCTATTCTTAATAGTAGTGTTCTGCAAAAAATCTGATTCAATCTGAATCTGATCCAGATCAAACAGATCAGATTGAATCAGATTTATCAGATTCAAATCTGAATTTTGATTTGATTCAATCTGTCGAATCTGAATCAGATTTGGATTTGAATTTGATTCAATCTGACAGATTTGGATTTGAATTCAGATTTGATCTGTCAGATTCAGATTTGGATTTAGATCTGATTTGTTGAATTTGAAATAAAAAATGCTGCCTGAAAGTCAAATGCAGTATTTATTAATAAAAAATTAATTTTTTATTAATTTTAATAACAAAATGCTATCCTAAAAGTCAAACATAGCATTTATTATTAAAAAAATTAATTTTTAATAATAACATGCTATTCTGAAAGTCAGACGTGGTATTTATTAATAAAAAAATTAATAAAAATTAATTTTTTATATTAAAATACTACCCCAAAAACCAGATGAAGCATTTATTAATAAAAAAATTAATAAAAATTAATTTTTATATTAAAATACTGCTTTGAAAGCCAGACGTGACATTTATTAATAAAAAATAATTTTTTATAATAAAATGCCGATCTGAACGTCAAAGGAGGATTTTTGTTAAAAAAATAAACAAAATTGTTATTTTTTAACATTAAAACGCCATTCTGAACATTGGAGGCAGATTTTTGTTAAAAATAACAAAATTGTTTTTTTTAACACCTTTTGAACATCAAAGGCAGATTTTTGTTAAAAAAATAACAAAATTGTTATTTTTTAACATTAAAACGTTATACTGAACGTTAGATAGATTTTTGTTAAAAAAATAACAAAATTGTTGTTTTTTTAATATTAAAACACTGTTCTAAATGTCAAAGGCAGATTTTCGCTAATAAAATAACAAAATTGTTTTTTAATATTAAAATGCCATTCTGAATGTCGAAGGTGAATTTTTGTTAATAAAACAACAAAATTGTTGTTTTTTAACATTAAAACGCCATTCTAAATGTCAGAAGCAGATTTTTGTTAAATAATTTTTTGATCCATCAGATACAGATATAGATTCAAATTCAGATTTGTCAGATTTGGATACAAATACAGATTTGGGTTTATCAGATTCGGATACAGATTTAGATCAAATCGTATTCAGATTTTTCAGATTCAGATCAAATCAGATTTTGCTTAAATCTGATCCAATCTGATTT